CACTAAACCAAAAAATCGTTTTTATTTTTATTTTTTGTCTTTATTGCGTCAAACGCCGTTTTGAGAACGTTTTCATTTTTTCTTTTTCAAAAAATGTAAAAAATAAAAAGGGATCAATTCTAAATACGGCTAATATTTTCATATATGATATTTCCATTCTCTCTAAAAATAAAAGATATATACTCAAATTATTATTCTTGATTTTGAGATTTAAAATTTAATTTTTTATAAGAGAAAAATACTGTAACAAGATTAATAATTTGAGTTTGAGTAAAATAAACTAAAGAAAGATATTTCTAAGTGCCGTAACTGCTGGGTCGAGGTGGATTAATTCTGATCAAGTTTTTTCTTTTATTTCTTTCCAGTAATCAACGGAAAGGTGTTATTTATTTATTTGTTTGAATATCAAAATCAAGGTTGACATATATCCCATAAATCAGATATTTGGCGCTTTCTGACGAAATTTTGAAGTCAGAAGTTTAATTAATTATTTTTAGTAAAAACTCCAGCCAAACAATAGAAATAAAAATAAAACTATATCTAATAAAACGAATCACACACTCGTGCAATTAGTTGTCATATCTAGTAACACTCGCCGTGTACTTCACGGACTTGTAGCTCACAAGCGTGCAAACGCAAATTGGTTGGAGAAGAGACAAAACCTAAAAATGTTTATAGGGTAGGCAAAATTATTGGCTTCTACAAAATTTACAGCAGCAACACTATTATCTTTCTTAATCCGTGAGTCACGTAACCTTCTTTAATGTTGTACAAATCTTTACATATATATATGTGTCATGGATAGTTTTTACTGATTATATTTTTTTTTTTATTGATGTTTACTTATTAAATATAAAAATTTAATAATATAACATGATAAGAATTTAAATATTAAATGTCATATATTTTTTAATTAGCTACTCAATTTATTATAATGATCTAATCAGTGTCACATAGTTAAAATAATAATGATACATGAGAGTAATCATTACAACTACTATCGGTATCGAATTCCCATCATACAAATAGATCACCTAATAATTAAAAGAAACTAAATTCATTTTTGAACATTGACATGCTAGCTAATTCAATTGCTGAAACAAGCAAACTATAGGAAGAATCAATGTCAAAAGTGTTTCACGCGGCAAGGTGGCGTAGAATGTCATAGATTCTGAATATCTTAATTATGAGATATATAGGTTAAATACTAATTATTAGAAAAAAAAAAACTGTATGCAGACTTGGTGTCGACTAATCTATAAGAGAACTAAAAATATGTTGAAAAATGACAGGTTGACTAAAACACTATACGTGCATATATATATATATATATATGTGTGTGTGTGTGTGTATTTATCCTTTTTAATGTGTTTCAAAAATCCAAAAATTAATAAAATAAAAAAGTTAGGCCTAAATAAATTAATTTATGTTGCTTTGTTAAAGAGGGAAGTAGGATGTTACTTCTCCCGTACTACATATTCAATGCTAAAACTCTGTTCATTTGAGGGGTGGTTGAGGATTGCAATTAATTATAATAAAATAAAGACGATGACAAGAAAGAAATCAACCGAGTAGAATATTTTCAGATGGACAATTTAGCTAGGATTACATGTAAATAAATAAACTGAACCAAATTGGTACGACTAATTTGTCAAGCTAGCTGAGAGATAGAGAGAGAAAGAACGATTAAAAAGTAGCTATATCTAATGAACAAATTGTAGGGTTGGCAATTATTAAAAGAACAATGGACATAGAGGGTTTAAGAAACGAGATTATACATGACAAGAGTAATTTGGAGTTGGTGCAATCACTTTTATGATCCTTTGGTGAGATTAATGAAACAACTGATCGAGCAATGACCGAGGCCAACGTAAACGCAAGTTCTTCATGGACAGATAAAGTTGAGGAAGCAGAAGGAGCATTCAATATGGTCGAGTCGAGAAAACAAGCCTACAATATCAATAAGCAGTCGATCGAGCAACAATAAACCTTACACTATTAGGGACCCAAAACCTAATAATGAATGAAGGTATTTTTATTGGAATGCCTCGACATTAATGCAAATGCTAATACGCCTGATCTTATATTTAGTATCAAAAAGTATAACAACGGTATGTTTGACATTTTGTGTTATAATGCATAATACTATTTCAAATGTTAAATTTATTTTTTCTCATAATTAATCATTAAGTTTTGAAAGTTGTAAAATTAAGTAAACTTTTAGCTTTAAAATAATTTGAAAATTGCAAAAGTTATTATGAATAAATGGAAAAGTAAACATAGCAACTTATAACGATCAAATGCCAAATATGTCATATGCTATATACTTGGTGGGAAATTTGTTATAAAATATAGCATATAGCATATTTGGTACAACAAATAGCATTGTATTAAAGAGTGTTTTTTTACCATCAAATACTAAATTTGTAATTGATACATTAATTATAGCATTGCATTAGAGATACTAAAATGATATATCCAAAGATACCCTTTGTAACTACCGCAATTTTTATGCATAGCTGATCAATCTATGACAAAGTTTGATACTGTTTCTCTTTGTAACGATCAACTTTCTTAACCTGTAATTAACATTGCATGATAATGACACATCCTAGATACATGCAAGCGTGTGCATATATATCCTGGGATTTAATATACTTGAGGTTGTCCATAAACCCATGACTAGACAATGGGTCTCCTGTCAACCAAAACATGCACACATATTCACGGCAGTTTTAGATAGAAAGAGAGAGAATGTTTTATGGAAATGGGGGTAACGCAAATTGCACGTATATATGTGCAAGAAAGTGATGGAAAACACGAGATTGCCTGGAAAGGGTTAAAGCCTAACGATTCCGGGGAAAAGAAAAAGAAACGAAAAAACACATTGAGAAGTCAGTCATTGGAAAGCGTGTTAATTAGTCCTTATCGTAGATGATTGCAGGGTGAAGATTCTTGCCTCCTTTATTTGTGTAGTCACTCACATGGATTCTCCCCTGCCAAGGCTCCCTCAGTAGCTTTCTACCGTGTGCCTTTGCCTCCTTCAAATTTTCTAAACGTACTTAAACTATTTTTCTGAGATAAATTATTTCTTTTTCAGCTACTTGATATATATATATATATATATATATATATATATATAAAATATAATT